TTTTGAGAAACTGCCATCTGTACCATTTTACATTCCTACCAGCACTGTATCAGGGTTTCGATTTCTCCACACCCTCGCCAAAGCATTCCAGTATCTGTATTTTCAATTATAGACAACCTAGTGAGTGTGAGGTAATATTTCATTGTGATTTCCGATGTGCATTTCTCTAATGGCTAATGGTACTGGGTATCATTTCATGTGCTTATTGGCCATTTTTATATCTTCTTCTGAGAAATGTCTACACAGATCCTTTGCCCATTTAAAAAATTGGGTTATTTGTCTTTTTATTATTGAATTGTAATAGTCTTTATATATTCTAGATACAAGTCCCTTATCATATACATGATTTGCCAAAATTATCTCCCATTCTGTGCCTTTTCATTTTTTTAAAAATTAATTAACTTATTTACTTATATTTGGCTGCTCTGGGTCTTCGTTGCTGCGCGTGGGCTTTCTCTGGTTTCGGAGAGCAGGGGCTACTCTTCGTTGTGGTGCACGGGCTTCTCATTGCGGTGGCTTCTCTTGTTGCGGAGCATGGTCTCTAGAGCGCAGGCTCAGTAGTTGTGGTGCACGGGCTTAGTTGCTCTGCGGCATGTGGGAACTTCCTGGACCAGGAATTGAACCCATGTCCCCTGCATTGGCACGCAGATTCCCAACCACTGCGCCACCAGGGAAGCCCCTCTTTTCACTTTCTTGATGGTGTCCTTTGACGTCCAAAAGTTTTTAACCTTGATTATGTCCAACATATCTATTTTTTTCATTTGTTACTCATATTTTTGGTGTCATATCTAAGAAACTGTTGCCTAATCCAAGACCATAAATGTTTATATCTATGTGTTATTCTAAGAGTTCTATGGTTTTAGCTCTTAAACTTAGGTCTTTGATCCATTTTGAGTTCCTTTTTGTATATGGTATGAGGTAAGGGTCTAACTTCACTCTTCTGCAGGTGGCTATCCAGTTGACCCTGTAACATTTGTTGAAAACACTATTCTTCCCCATTGAATGGTCTTGCCATCCTTGTTGAAAAATCAGTTGAACACGGATGCATGGGATTTATTTGAGTACTCTCAATTCTATTCCATTGATCTATATGTCTAACCTTATGCTAATACCACACTGTCTTGATTATAGTTTACTGTTGAGTTTTGTTGAAAGGGCTTTTTATTTTGTAGATGCAAGTCCTTTGTCAATATGTGCTTTGCAAATATTGTTTCTGTGGCCTATCTTTTCACTCTCTTTATAGGGTCTTTTGCAGAGAAAAAGCTTTTAATTTTAGTGAGGCCCTATCTATCTATCTATCTATCCATCTATCTATCTATCTAGGCCTGTGCTTTTGATGTCAAGCCTCTGCCTGTTTTTGTAAATAAAATGTCATTGTAACACACCATGCCTACCTCCTTACATAATGTCTGTGGCTGCGTTAGTAGCCATGTTGAATAGTTGTAACAGAGACCACATGGCCCACAAAGCCTAAAACAGTTACTATCTGGCTCTTTACAGAAGAGGTTCTTGACCCGCTGCTCTAACCTGCTAAACCTTTACACTCCAGGGCCCTTACACACTCCCTCTGTCTGAAACACTCTTTCCTTGGATCTCCTTCTCACGGCTGGCTCTCCAGTGTTATTCTGGCTTCTGCTCAAATTTACCTTAGAGAGGCCTTCCATGACCATATTATTTAGAATACGCAACCCTCCCCATCATTCCACCATCTACTCCCTTACTTTATTTTTCTTCATAGAATTTATCACTTCCTTCACTAGAATAAGCTCCATGAGGGCAGTCTCAGGCACCAACACTGCCTGTCATATAATATCACTCAAGAAATACTTGAATAAATAAGTGAGTCACAGAGAACTATGTGGAAACCACCTCTTTCCAGGAAAAATAACTCTATTGATATTTATTATCCCATAAACTATTTTGTCAGAGGAACAATTCTTGAATGAAAGAACAATAGGTCTGATTCCCTTCATGAACTGTCTAATGATGTTTATGTGTCATTTTACCTCCATGGCATTCCCTAACATATCGAGCTAAAGAGTTACCTACGGCTGGAGAGCAAGGATGTTTGAAAGTCTTTACATTTGTTTTCTAACTCTGTATTCCTTCCTGATCTCCTCTTGAGCCTGAACTGAAATTCAATGGGTCGATAATAATGTAGGTTATCTGTTTCACACTACAACTGATTTCTCCTGATTGCTCTTGAATTCTGAACCTCTTGATCTGTCTGTAGGGGAACAATGTAGAACAGAGGAAAGGAAAGAGAGCTTCGGCATAAAGATACTGGTCACAGGCCAGCTCTAGCACTAGTTATGTGACCTTAAAAACATATCTCAAGATCTTAAACCTTGTTTTCAGATAGTAACATCTGCCTCACGAATAAATGTATGTAAAAAATAATTAATTCCCAATTATTTAACATCTTCTATATGCCAATGTGAGATTATATATATATCTGTCCCCGGTTCCTGGCACAGAGCTCTTAAAACCCTTGTAATTTCCTGAGTCATAAGAACACTGGGAACATCTCTCATTCTAATGGTCCCTGACACAGGGCTCCTGAAATGCTTGTAAATTCCTAAGTGATAAGAGCACTAGGAACATCTTTTGTTCTGATGAGGTGAGTGTCGATGGGCTCCTGGATGGGGGCTGGTCACCAGCAAGAACAAGCTGTGATTAGAAGCTTGGAATTATCAGCCCACCCCTCGTCCTCCAGAACGGGGAGAGGGGCTGGAAATGGAGTTAATAATTGATCGTGTCTATGTGAGGAGGCCTCCATAAAATCCCAATAGTAGGAGGTTTGGGAAGTTTCCAGGTTGGTAAACACATCACACCGGGAGGGTGACGCACCTCAACTCCATGGGGACGGAAGCTCCTATGCTCAGGACCCTCCCAGACCCTGCCCTATATATTTCTTTATCTGGTTGTTCATCTGTATCCTTTATCATATCTTTTAATAAACTGGTAGACATAAGTGTTTCCCTGGGGTCTGTGATCCATTTTAGCAAATTAATAGAACCCAAGGAGGGGGTCATTGTAACCTCTGATCTATAGCTGGTTGGTCAGAAGCACAGGTGATAACCTGGGCTTGCAACCAGCGTCTGAAGTATGTGTGTATGGGGGTCGGGACAAAAGCAGTCTTGTGGGACTGAGACCTTTACTTGTGGGACCTGGTTAGACAGTGTCAGAATTGAGTTAAATTTTAGGACATCCAGTTGGAGCCACAGAGAATTGCTTGGTGTGCAGAAAAACTGAGATTTTTTTCCTTTACAGCCAAATACTTTGCTAAGTGCTGAGAATATATTATCTAATTTAATTGTCACAATAATCAGCAAAGATCGATGTCATCCAAAGAGTTAATTATAGTGTCTGGCTAATAGGTATAAAATAGGACAAACTTTCACAGCCATTTGCATCTGGCTATGTCAAAATGGCCTTGTCAAAAGTAAAATCACTGTTTTTTTTTTTTCTTTTTTTTTTTCCCCCCGTACGCGGGCCTCTCACTGTTGTGGCCTCTCCCGTTGCGGAGCACAGGCTCCGGACGCGCAGGCTCAGCAGCCATGGCTCACGGGCCCAGCCGCTCCGCGGCATGTGCGATCCTTCCGGACCGGGCACGAACCCGCGTCCCCTGCATCGGCAGGCGGACTCTCAAGGGAAGCCCAAATCACTGTTTTTTTGTTTTTCGTCTTTGTTGGGGTTCAGTTGATGGAAAATCACTATTTTTAATGCCAGTAACAACAGCAACAACTATCTTAAACCTTTGCTTATCCTTAATTCCCACTAAAATTCTGGGGACTCTGTCGTTTAATTTCTCTATTATTGAGATGTTTCGCAGGCACGTACTTCTTTTTTAATAAAACCACCACCACGACGGCGATATACGACATCTTAATAATGATAAGGTTGGCATAATTAGGAAGCCCACAAATAAGAGAGGTAGACTACCCTATGATTTTTGAAATGGAAAAACACAGTAGTATACAATCTTAAGTAGTCAAATCTAATTATTAAATAATTATGCAGCAGGGGGAGCTCGGTGGGAGCTGGGGTGGACAGGAGGCACAGTGGCTTTGCTCACCATTGGTAAAGCGTTGAACACAATTTAAAAAAGGATCACTCCTTGATTTCTGTGTCTCACACCTTGTCCTCACAGTGTTTCCACCAATGTCTTTCCAAAATAGCCTTAACAACTATCATGTAGACCTACCATCTTTAAAAATGTATTGACTTTTAAGATTTTCCAAAAGATGCGATGTTTTGGAAAATGTGCTAAGGAAGAGCAATTGCCTGCCTTGTTCTTCCCCCAACTCTGCTTTCCTTAGTTTGACCAATAAAAAAATTGGGAAAGAATCTGGCAGTCTGATAAGACCGCCATTCAAGATTCCAGTGAATTCCCTGAGAACGAGCTTATTTAAAGTCTTTCTGGATAGATCACATGGGCTAAACCCTTGGCTTCAGGCAATATGTGATTTAGTCACCAGATGAAGCCTACCCTGTCCCCATCCCAGGCCAAAGGGTCATAAATTCTTTAATATCTTTTTGTGACCCTTCATCACAGTGCTTTGCAAGTAATATGACTCAGTAACACTTTAGAGTCGGCTCTATAAGAAGAGTTCTTATCATGGTGCGAATTCAGCTATGATTCTTCACACCTATATAGTCATGGCAGTTTTTAAGGTAATTCCCTCTCGTCCAGTTGTGTATAATTTTACCGAGGCCTGTTTGCAATTACAATGCTGAACATGGATATTTTATCATTTTTATTATTCTTGATGTTAAAGCACAAAATGCCACACATGGCAAATACTAATTAATTGTGAATAAAAATAATATGGGAATGTACCGAGTCTATTGGCTGCAATAGTCTCTCCCACCACCACTTATGTAGGTCCACGTTAATAAGACAACAAAAGTTTAGGGAAACGACAGGTATTGAGATTACTAACATAACTATGACAAAACAAGCTGATACCAATCTGACATAAATTCTTAATACTCACATCCTGTTTGTTGCTCTCCATCTCTCTGCTATACTAAGAATTGACTCGCCCTCCAATTCTTCTTTAAGGTACTGCTTCCTGTAAATTGTAATTGGCTAGTTATTTATTTGCTTTATCTACTTAAGTTCCTTGAGAGATGAGGCTGTGTCAGCCCCCCGACCCACAGGCACACCAATAAGTACTTGTGGAAGTACGTGAAACCTCATATAATTCTAGTGTCTTAGATTAACCCAATTCTGGGGTCCTCAACAAAGCTCTTTCCACTTGTTCAGTAGCCAGTGGGAAGAATTTTATCAAGTAAAGGGAGAGAAAACGGAAAGAGCTGAATATGGTGCAAAATGGAACCTCTATATTTTGAGTCATTGCTCTGTCACCAACTAGCACTGTTTCCCCATCAGCAAAAGGAGCAGGGATTAGGTGAACTTGCTGTCATAAAACTCTGTGATTTAATGTGGCTTATTTTGCCGTATAAAATTAATAAAATATTTGAAATAAACCACCTCCTCACAGCTTCACCTAAACATCATCAGTGAGCTGCAGTGGAGTCAGAAATCAGGACTCTGCTTAGCCGGTTATCAAGTCCGAGTGTTTCCTCCTTGACCAACTCTCCTGACTTGGATGCATAGTTGGGGATCAGCTGAGATGTATGGTGAAACACTAGTGTTATCTCCTGAGTTTATTAGGAGGAAGGGGAGAATTAGGACAGACCATTCCTTTGACTATTCCACAGCCTCCTTATTACCCTTTCCTTTTCATTTCTCTCTGCAGCCCCTGCCCCCCAGTGTCTCTCCTTTCCTCTGTCTGCTAGTTCTTGGCTTCCAGGTCATCATCATTCGGGGAGAAAATAAAAACCCAAAACCTCTACAACTCTTCTAACTCAAATAAATATACTTTTCTTTAAAAGTAAGGTGCTATACTTGCAGTGAATGAATGAATGAGCCATAATTTTCTAAGGAAATTCCAATTTTCATCTTTCAAAAACCTACAGAGTTATCATTTGCATAACACTTAAACTCCTGGTAGGTATCTTTCAAGGCCAGCACAGTTCCCTTTGCCTGGATGGTTTTTCTACGGCTCTCACTTTCTTCAGGTCTTTGGTCAAAAGGCACTTCCTCAGACCCATTCCTTCCCCCACCTGCCATTGAATATGCCAGTCCCCTCCCCATTTCTTACTACATATTTTCTTCATAAGATTTATCACTGTCTGGCATTTTATTACACATCCACGCATTTTCTTGTCTATCCCTTCCCTAGAGTGTAACTCCAGGAAGGCAGGACCATTGCCCACGTCGTTCACTGTGAGGTCTCCAGCACCTGGAGCAGGGCTCGGACACGGTAGGTGCTCAGGAAATAACAAATATTCTCTCAAGTACTCTGAGGCTACGTGCTAGTTTCTCCTGAGCCCTAGGACCCGCTTCTCCCTTAGTCCCGCCCAACCGTGAGTCACCACCCACCTCTACCCGAGCCCAGCTCGGAAGCTCGTCCTCCCGCCTGCCAGCCACAGGGACAGCGCTGCGCACCCACCACCGGGACCGGGCAACGGCGGTTGGGCCCGGCGGCTCCGCTCAACCGCCCATCTCCGGGCTCACCCACGCCTCTCCGCTGGTCCCAGGAGGCCACGCCCGGGGGTGACAGCGATGCCGCCACTGCGCTTCCGCCCGCCCGGCTGCGCGGCCGTTAGGTCCCCCGCGCAGCTACGAGATGCCCAGGATTCTGTTTTGAACGATCCGTTGATGTGGGAGGAAAACGTGACTCGTGGGTCCGGCTGCCTCCGTTAAGCAGGACGCAGGCAGCCACCCCTGGCGTGAGCAGGGCTCGCGCTCTTGAGTCCCCACAACCGCTGCCCCAGTCCTACTCTTCACCTTCGCGCCAAACTGACCGGCCGGGCCGCAGCCCACCTCGCTCCCACCCGACGCCCAGGCATCTTCGAGAAGAGAGCGGGGAACGCTTTACGGGGAAACGACTCTGGGCCCCACCATCCTTGATGCCGCCGTTAAGAGGGTGTTAACATTTCTGCTTTAAGAGATACCGGTTCCCTCTCAGCGCCTCCGCGCCCCGGGGGTGTTGCCCTCAGACCACTCTGCGGGGTGGGCCGGGGTCGAGGCTGAGAAGGCAGAGGGCAATTTCTAGTGGTTCTTTTGGACCCGGTGGCTCTTTTCTAATGAAAAGCCCCAAATGTCTTTCCTTCCACCTCCTGGAAAGGACTCTTTAAAATTTGGGGTTAGGAGTAATAAAGGTCGTCCCACGCTGCCTCGTGGGTGCTGTCCGGGGAGTGGTTGGTGGGCAAGAGAGGGACCAGTGCTTTGGAGATTGTTCTCCCCTTTGTCCCCTACTAACTTGGAATTATTTAGAGCCTCATAGTGATAGCATGGCCTTTCAGCAAGGGCTGAGTCAGTAGTGACAAGGTTTTTTTTTAAAATGTCTGCATTACACTTCTCAAAAGGGAATATTCCCAGTGAGCAATAAACTCAGGAAAAAGGTGTGCATCTGAATTGGTCATATCAGGAAACTCCAAATTAAAACCACAGGAGATGCTACCATACACCCACTAGGATGGTTAAAATGAAGGAGGAGGAAAAGGAAAGAGAGAGAGAATGCCAAATACGGGAGGCCAGAACTTTCATACGTGGTTAATGGGGGTACAAGTTGATAAACTGGTGCACTTTGGAAAATATTTAGCAATATTTATTAAAACAGAACATGTTTTATGTTCTGTATGTATATAATGTATATAATGGAATGTTACTCAGCCATAAAAAAGAATGAAACAATGCCATTTGCAGCAACATGGATGGACCTGGAGATTATCATATGAAGTGAGGTAAGTCAGAGAAGGATAAATATTATATGATATCACTTATATGTGGAATCTTAAAAAAATGATAGAAGTGAACTTGTTTACGAAACAGAAATAGACTCACAGACATAGGAAACAAACTATGTTTACCAAAGGGGAAGTGGGGGGGATAAATTAGGAGTTTAGGATTAACACATACACACTACTATATATAAAATAAACAACAAGGACCTACTGTATAGCACAGGGAACTATACTCAATATCTTGTAATAACCTATAATGGAAAAGAATCTAAAAAATATATGTATGCATACTGAATCACTTTGCTCTACACCAGAAACACAACATTCTTCAATAAGAAACACAACTATACTTCAGTAAAAATTATTTTAAAAAAACCAGACAGAACATATGCCTGCCCTATGACCCAACAATTCCACCCCTAGATATATACTCAATAGAAATGCATACACACGTTCATCAAAAAATAGGTATTAGAATGTTCATCTCAGCAGTATTCATAACAATGCCAGACTGGAAATAATCCAAATGTCCTTTAAGAGAAGAATGGATAATTACATTGTGTTATATTCACACAGTGGAATATTATACAGCAATGAGAGTGAATGTGCTATAGCAACCTGCAATTATATGGATGAATCTCACAAAGTTGAGTGGAAGAAACCAGGTAGGTTCAAAAACAGGCAAAACTAAGCTGTGGTGTCATAAATCTAAATCTGTGGTTACCCTTTGGGGGGTTGTGACTGGGAAGGGACACCAGGACTTCTGGGGTGTGTTCTGTGATTTTGTCGGGGTGCTGTTAACTTTGTAAAAACAATAATCAAACTGAGCATTTTTCCATATGTGTTTTACTTAAAAATCTTTTTAGTTAAGAAAAAAAAAGGGACTTCCCTGGTGGTGCAGTGGTTAAGAATCTGCCAGCCAATGCAGGGGACACAGGTTTGAGCCCCGGTTCGGGAAGATCCCACATGCTGCAGAGCAACTAAGCCCTTGCACCACAACTACTGAGCCTGCGCTCTATAGCCCGTGTGCCACAACTACTGAGCCTGCGTGCTGCAACTACTGAAGCCCACACACCTAGAGCCTGTGCTCTGCAACAAGAGAAACTACCGCAATGAGAAGCCTGCGCACCATAACGAAGAGTAGCCCCCGCTTGCCGCAACTAGAGAAAGCCCGCGCGCAGCAACGAAGACCCAACAGATCCAAAAATAAATAAATAAAATAAATTTATTAAAAAAAGAAGAAAAAAGCCTTAACTATTATTAATTTGTCCAAGTTCTCCTCTATTCAATTCAACATACATTCATTTTATAGTCACTATATTAGTAAATAAGGCACTAGGAGGCACTGTGGAGTCCTGGAATGATGTCTCTGCCTCCCAGGAGTTCATCATCTAGGAGGTGTTACAAATAAAAGTCATTGCTTGGGCGCAGTCTTTAATACTATACTGTTAGGGAAGTCCAAAATAATTCCCTTGGAAGAAAGTTGGGGAAAAGAATATGCATCTATGCAGAGTTTCTGAGTTAGAAGGGCTCTTAAGAGGCTCATGATTTCTCCGTGGGCAGGGACCAGGGTAATCAACTGTCTCACTTTCCCCAGGACTCAGGGGTTTCTCACAACAGGGGACTTTTAGCGCTAAACCCAAGATAGTCTTGGGCAACCTGGTATGGATGCCCACTCTAGCAGGGGCTGAGCCTGATTCATCTTTGAACTTGTTGAAGTTTCCAACATAAAGTCTGGGACATAGAATTGATTAATAAGCTCAATGAATATTTGTTGAAATGGGGGAAAATGTTAACAGAAATAAAGGCACCTGTTTATGTGATGCCAGTGGTTTTCTGGGAGCAGGAATTGTGCAAAATATGGGTTAGGGACAGGTTGAGGAGGGCTTTGAATGCCAAGCTGAATAGTGTGTTTTATATTTTACTGGTAGCCATGGAATGCTTTTGAACAAATACAGTGACATGAAAAAAAATCTGTGTTTCTCCTCATCAAATCTGGGTCACTGAACAGGACTAGATGGCCTAAGTAGGGTTGGCATAAGTCTACAAGTTGAGGTCCATGTAGAAGGTTATTAGGAGTCCAGAAAAAAAAGTTAAATAATAGACTTTCAGACCCTTAAGGGAACTAAGAGCTTCACTAATCTAATGCCTTCCTTATTTAAAAAAAATATATATTTATTTATTTATTTGGCTGCATCGGGTCTTAGTTGTTGCATGCGGGATCTTTCATTGTGGCGCATGGGCTCCAGAGCATGTGGGCTCTCTAGTTGTGGAGCACGGGCTCTAGAATGTGCGGGCTCAGTAGTTGTGGCCCGTGGGCTTAGTTGCCCCACGGCGTATGGATCTTAGTTCTCAGACCAGGGATCAAACCTGCATCCCCTGCATCAGAAGGTGAATTGTTAACCACTGGACCACCAGGGAAGTCCCCTTCCTTATTTTTTAAATATCTTTTCATATTATAGTAGTTCCCTCTTATCCACGGGGGATACTTTCCAAGACCCTCAACGGATGCCTGAAACCGCAGATTGTACCCAACCCTATATATACTATGTTTTTTCTTATACATACATACATACACATGATAAAGATTAATTTATAAATTAGGCACAGTAAGAGATTAACAGCAGTAACTAACAATAAACTAGAACAGTTGTAACAACATACTGTAATAAAATGTATGTGAATGTGATACCATGACAGCAGCCAGCTGCCGAGTGAGTAATCAGCATCAATAAACCGGACCAAGGGATGATTCCCATCCCTGGCAAGACGAAATGGGATGGCTTGAGATTTCATGATGCTACTTAGAGTGGTGCGCAATTTAAAACCTGTGGATTGTTTATTTCTGGAATTTTCCATGTAATATATTTTCAGACAGCGGTTGATCGTGGGTAACTGAAACCTCAGAAAGTGAAAGTGCTAAGAGGGTACTACTGTATATGTTCCTTTTACAAACTGTTTCTTCCATACCTTTTTTCCCCCCTCCTTTCTTAAATGTTAATATTTATCTGTAATACTAATTTTAGTTTGCAATAAATGAAGGCCCAGTGGTAAGGTGACTTGTCCAAGTTCATTCGGCAGGTCCTAAGCAGGTCCTGGTGTTTTTTCTGATTTTCCTGATGCCCAAGAGGCTATGACTCAGTGTCTCATGTTCTCACTCATCAAGATGCCAGTGGTTTATCTTTACTCACTGGAGGGCGTGGGCCTGTGGTGAGGAACAACAGCAGTTTTTTTTCCTTGAGATCTAGGTCTCTTCAGAGTTCTTTTTTTTTTTTTTTTTTTTTTTGTGGTACGCGGGCCTCTCACTGTTGTGGCCTCTCCCGTTGCGGAGCACAGGCTCCGGACGCGCAGGCCCAGCGGCCATGGCTCACGGGCCCAGCCGCTCCGCGGCATGTGGGATCTTCCCGGACCGGGGCACGAACCCGCGTCCCCTGCATCGGCAGGCGGACTCTCAACCACTGCGCCACCAGGGAAGCCTCACAGTTCTTTAAGTATATGAATTATTAACCTAAAAATAATATTGCATGTTTCCACATATTCATTTAACATTACTAAGAACAAAATGCCCTTTTCTCTCATAAACACAATTGTTTTTAAAGGTTCTAATGTGTTTTTGTTGATTAGAATTGTAGTTGTAATCCTCCCGTCATACATATAATATGCAGTAATAATCAAATATCTGATACTAAAATAACTTACTGATAAATTCTAATACTGAACACAGAATAGTTCTATCTCTACTAACAATAAAAAGCAAAACCACTTAGTTTATCTTGGAAAATTTAAATTCTGGCCATTATTTTACAAGTTAGGAATCTGAGTAGTCCAACTATGAGATGCCTTTCTCATTGTAGAAGTTTGCTCTGTCGACGTGCGTTTGTTTTGGGATCCCCTCTTTTTCCAACCATCCCTGCATATGACGCACTTTGGAGATGCAACCTTGAAATTGCCCTCATACTGTGCCCTGGTCAGTATTCTGGACCCAGCCTCCAAATTCCAGCTTTTGCCCCTCAGCCTGAGTATATTTGCGGAAAAACACCCCGTGTGCCTTCCCCCCAGTTTCATAACCCACTGATATCAGGGTGTCCCCTTCTCCCATGCTCATGCTCAAACCCTCCTCGCCCTCCTCTCACGCGGCGGGAACTACCCAGGCGACCACCACGCCAAAGGTTCCCCCAGCCGAGTAACCGACGCGCCGGAAGCCTAGACAATTCTTGAAAAAAATTTTAATATCCTCCCCCTCCCTGGCCCCACCCTCAATCCCACTTTGGCATAAGCAAGATATACCTTATTATGTTAGAATTATTTACAGCCTAGTAATAATTTTCCCATGGTACTTTTATTATTGCAAATACAGCTGCCTCTCGTTCCTCCTCTTATTTCTAAACTATGGCCATAACGATACTGAAGGGCTAGTATGATATACTCTCTTGTAAACTATCTGGCCTAGGAGATCCTGGAAAATCATAAAAAGATGGGATCACTTTGGATGAACAGAAGTTACCTGTTACTGAATCTTGACCCATAGCCCTTGCAGCTCTGCAGTGGGGACAGTTATAATACTGATGGGAAGTCCCTTTTCTGGTCCCTCAATTTCAAAGCACAATTTTTAGACAGTGTTAGAGCTTTGCTGAAATGTAGCTGTAAGAAAAAGTCTGGACTAGGAAAGGAAAAAAAGGTCCATTTGTGCTGGGAAGCAAGGGAATTCCATAATTTACAGTATAGATGGCATCTCTCAACACTCTCAAATAGTCCTTCCTACCCTGGAATTGCAGATTGTAGGTTAAACACCTTATTTTTCATTCACTGGATGTAGAGGATATCTCTTCTCCAATTCCATCTATCTTTTCAATTTTCCTAGGAAGGTAGGTTGAGGGGAAATCTACTTTCAAATTTTAAATGCCTCAGGGTGTTAAGGAGAAAATGGTAGCATTTTCACAGATAGGTAGCTTCCTAGGTAGATCTGTGGGAGCAGATTTATCTTTCAATTTATGGCTGGAAAAACCCAGGTGGTGAGTGTGAAACATTTTTCCAGGATCATAAAATTGGCATATATACCTTTAAAGACATATTTTAAAGGTCTGGCATACTTTGTAAAAGTCTTCTCATTTTGGTTCGGTTCATAACCTGCCATGTATCAGACACTGCTAGACACTGGATATGCAACGATGAATAAAATACACTCCATATCCAAGCAGTTTTCTGTAATGTGATTAATGCCCTTCCTTCAGACAAACTTTTACAGTTTCCTTCACCTCCCCGCAGCCTCTCCAATTATTTTGTGAATGGTTTCTTTAGGAACCCACCTGCTAGGATACTGTGATCCAGGGTCAGTCCTTAACTTTCTGTATGAGAACCTCGGTTTCCCCATCCTTCCCTAAAGGCAAGGCTAAACCCCACGCTTTTCCTTTCTTCTGTCTCTTTCATCCTTTTAGTATAAGTAAATGGGAAGTCTGGGACCAAAGGCTCATATGAATTTAATTATCACGTATATTTTAGAAAACCACGGTAGCCGCTAACTTCGCTGAGTAAACAGGAAACTATCGATCCCACGCAGGAAATGGCCTTGTTTGAGGGCAACGAAGGTTTCGCGGATTTCCCTTTCTCCTTCAGTTCCCTTCTAAACTCATTTCCGGGTTTCAATCCATTTGGTCCTTCACTACAATAG